GTATTCTTGGTCAGGTTTCTTGGTGTTGCAGGATGTATTGTATTCTTGGTCAGGTTTCTTTGTGTTGTAGGATGTATTGTATTCTTGGTCAGGTTTCTTGGTCAGGTTGCAGGGTGTATGGTACAAACACGCCAATTTAGTAGTCGTGTCTTGCGATAAATTCTTTCTAGGTATTGCAAATTCCTGAAAGCACTTTAATTAAACAACACTTAACATATTCGATGGAACCCGTGTGCCTACCTTGTTTAAAAAAAACATTAAATTCACTACAAAAATGGCTGCGATTACCTTGTAGAAATCACTGAATCCTACCAAATCATGTTTGAAACGTTGATCAAACGTTTCCCAGTCGATAAAAAGTCGTAAGCAGTCGCAAACAGAGCAGCCAAGTTCACTAGCCAGTACGCGGGACTTCGGATAACATCGGCTCTCCTCGCCATGCGCCGATAGCTGTGCACGTGATATCCGAGAGTAATCCGAAGTTTTACAACCCTTACACCGGGATGAACTTTATGTCAGTTATGTCGTATGTCATTTTAACTATATTTTTCGCTAGTTAAATCAAGGGAGCACGGCAAAATGTTGTATTTTGACGATATTATGGAGGAATTTTGAGTAAACGTCCGCCATCTTTTTTTCCCCCGCCATTTTTCTTTTTGCTTTGTCTGTCCGCTGACTGTTTATTACGCAGGCGAGCAGATGAAGTTACGAGCGAGCCCCTAAGGGGCGAGACGTGGCGGGGAGTGCAACCGTTGGAATACGGATCGCAAGAAGCTCGTAGTAAATTGCTAGGAACAGCACCGTTGTTAGGAACTTTGAGGAATGGCGTAGCTAGAATGACCGACAAACTTGAAAATCACCGAACATGAATATTCAACAAGCTCGAACAAAGGATACTCATTCGGCTGGTCTTAATTACCATAACAAAGTGTAAGTATTTAAAATTATTCAGTTTGAATGTTAATAAGTTAACGGTCGATAAAATTAGGATGTGTTCTTTTGACCGAATAATGTTTTATACTAAAAATTATTTCGTATCTACAGAATTCAAGAAAGATTTCTGTTTGTACCTGACCCGGGATACCTGACAATGTCGTGACTGTTGAGAGCATATTCCATGAAGGATTTCTGGTAAGCTTCAGCATCCTTTGCTTTTACTTTACTACAACTTTAAATATCAGGTGAATTTTCATTCAAGCAGGTATGAAGTTTAAAAACGGACTTTAAGCTTAAGTTAAAATAGTTTCGAATAGCGGTACATTCCTTAACAATATCAATACCTGCAAGGGTAGCCTGCGTCACATCCGGAATTTTCTTCGTAAATACCGTCCAATTCTTCTTTTTCATTGGTTTAGAGGCGGCACACCTCCAACGGTTGCACTCTCCGCCACTTCTCGCCCCTTCGGGGCTCGCTCGTAAATTCATCAACTCGCCCCTCGGGGCTCGCCTGCGCCTACGTAATAAACGATCAGCGGAAAGACAAAGCAAAAAGCAAAATGGCGAAAAAAAGCAACAAGATGGCGGACGCGTTTAATCATTTAAAATTCCTCTATCATATCGTCAAAAAACAATATTCTGCCGTGCTCCCTTGGTTGAATAGGACATGAAGTATATCCCGATATATACTCGATGGCATAGTGTCTACTGCTTATTAATATGCAGTAAACACAAAAATCTAATAATAATAATAATAATAATAATAATAAAAAATAAATAAATTCAACTTTTTGGTAAATTTTGGAAAACCAGTTTTTTCCTTAAAAGAAAGAATCCTAATGCATGCGGGTACCATAGATCGACAAGCAGGTTGTCTCTTCTTTTCTTTTATTTCAACCTGTGATCCAAGGTTTACCAAACGTACGTCAGTCAAAGTTTAATTCAGAGCCACAATAAACAAAATTGCATTTAGTAGTACTGTATTTTATAAACAGCCATATTATTTATATAAACGCGTAATCGAAAAGAAAAGGAATTATCAAAACAGTGGCGAGCAAAGACTAACATTACAGCAGCTAGGATGAAAAGTGGAAGCCGTTATGGTAAGAAGTCGTAACGGAAAGTAAATAAGAGCTGGATATCTTCAAGGTACGAGTTATTATGAAATTATATATATATATATATATATAGTGAATATATTTCGAATTTGTTGCTTTTGGAAAAAAAAAACGAGTTATGAATATGAGTTTTATTCTTAACGGAGGATAGATTGGAAGGCAATTGGATACTAGCTAAATGCGTAGCCGACGAACCATAAAATCAAAAAGAGAAAGTCAAACACCGCTTTTAGAAAGCTGAAATCGTAAAGATTGTAAATATTATTGTAGCAAAAGAATGAAACCCAAATACCAAACAAACATCTGAAAAAAGAAATATAGAAAGAAGTATAGAGATAAATAAAGAATGAAAACATCTGGCAAAACTAAGATGAAATTTTTATATATTTGAAATTTGTAATATTCCTCGTAGCAGGTAGGTAGGTAGGTAAGGTAGGTAAAACTTTATTTAAACACGCTTGCCACGTCAATTAAAGCTGATTTCCACAAGGGGCGTGTGGATAAATATTACAATGAAAAGCTAATRCTATTTTATATTCTAATCAATAATAATAATAAAATAGAAATAAAAATAAAATAAATATAACTGTTAATAAAGCTACAATAATACATAGTAGATTAAGTAATAATTTATAGATACTAAGAGATAGATAGAGTGTGAGTGGCAATTTCAGATTTGAATTTGGCCAGTGATTTGCAATTTCTTAAATTTTCTGGTATGGAGTTCCAGACTTTTTCCCCATAAGGAAAACTTCTAGCTTTTACCAAACTCTGTTTTAGGGAGAGGTAACTGCAATGAGGTACTAGAGCCCCTTAAGTCGTAATTTGTAACGCTTTGTTTTTTTTGTAAAAAGATTTACAAGACAGTTAGGGGCCATTCCGTTAAGTATTTTGTACATGTGCTTGGCYTTTGTTTTCTCTCTTTGGTTTTTGAGAGGTTCCCAGCCCAGAGCTTCCAAAGCTTCCTGGTGGGGAGTTTCATTACTCATATAAGAAATTACTCTTGCAGATCTGTTTTGTAATTTCTGAATCTGTTTAGCATGACCTTCACCAAGGGTGTCCCATACCTCACTACAGTAGTTAAAGTGCGGCTGTACTATAGTATTATGTATGCCAATCAGAGTTTTCCTGTCCACGAAGTCTCTTATTTTTCTAATGGCTCCTATACCCGACGTAACTTTTTTAGCTATGCTATCAACATGCCCATCCCAAGACAAAAACTGGTCAATCTCCAAACCAAGAACCTTACTTTGGGTAACTTGTTTTATGGAATCTTGACCGATCTCTACATTAGGCTGAGCAGTGATAGTACGCAAGTTATAGTGAGACCCAATAAGCAGAAATTCTATACATTAATAATATATTCATATATTAACTTTAGTACGCCCTACACACGTTTTACCCCTTTGTTTAGTTATTTTAGCACTATTCTTTTGAATCTTATGACAGAAGTACTCCTCGTAGCCTTTTCTATACATTTACAATATATAGATCTTATTAACCGAGGTCGGAATGTACAGACCGAGGTCAAGATTATCCCGTACAGACCGACCAAGCTCGGTTGATAAGAGTTTTATTATATGACCACTTTTCATTGAAAAGGACAAAATGTTTTCGCCGTAAGATTAATATGCGATCGGACCGGTTAATACCGGAGAATCTAGACCAGTCCGCAATGCGATTTATCCAATCAGATTGCTCGATTTGCTAGTGTCCAGGCTTTAAGATTCACGGTCATATAATAAATTCATATATTAACTTTAGTTTAAGCTATGTTTAGTTTTAAAATTTTTACTCGTATTACTCTTTAATAAGATATCACACTTAGGAATTTACTTTTTCCGCTTAGCCAATCTTGATTCAACGATAATATCACATTGGAAGTAATGTCTTCTGGCGCTGCTGCCGTCATTTCATTTCATATGGTTGCATGACGATATCGCGATCGGGTAGAGGATTTCAGACGATATCGAATCTTGTTGGGGTGTGTGATTGACAGGCAACTAGAACCAAGCTTTTTGTCTGACAAAATCAACGAGTGAGTCGCATTTTAAAGAAAACGTGTGTAAATTAGACGTCAAATTCACTAGTCAATAGGTGATAAGTCTTATCAGTCAAGTTGGCCATTATGAGCTAGCTTGTTCAGTATATGCCAATGCGCCCCATAAGTACGTATCAAATTTTTACATTTTGATATTATTAACAATTAGTTCATATCGAGAGAATGTTTTTTTTTTTTTACGAGCGCTATTAAACCATGGAGATTGAATAGAGCACCGAAGTGATGACGTCACAAAATCACATTGTAAGAACTTTAAGCTTTTGGTAACATTTTCAGAAACGGGGTCTATTTGTGCAAGGGGTCTATTTACAGTTTTTATGGCAGCAACTTTCTCTGATGATCCACACAACGAATTATGTTTTTTGCTTCGTTTATAGGTAACTCAAAAACCTCTACATTGCAATAATCATGAAGATTAACCTTCGATGGACTGTGTTTATTCTGCTAATGACATTCACTGCAATATTTCTATATCAATCAGTGGTAAGGAATAAGAAATATAGAAGGGTTCCAAGGGCACCTAACTTCGTCCCCGGGCTACTCTTCTCGCTGTTCGAAATGACGTAACATGTGCTTCTCGGATGAGTGAACCGGCCAAATCCCCCATTTCGGTGCCCGGTCTGTGGAAGTACTAGTAAATCGATAATCGATCAATAGTACAAGATGTGAGGGGGTTAATAGAAACAATGAAAAACGACAAAAAAAAAAAAAAAAAAAAAAAAAAAAAAAAAAAAAAAAAAAAAAACAAGCACACAAACAAGCACGACACACGATAGTAAAAAACAAAAAAAACATCAAACAAACGAAACAAAACAAAGCAAAAACCGTTTTGTAAAGAAATAAATGTAATTGGTCTATTTTAGAAGATAACTCCGAGCGTTTTGCCCGGCTACGTGTGTAGCTCTGAAGCGTACAGTCAATTCAAAAAACGTTGTCGTCGACCTTGTCAAGCCTACGCGACTGGACCGAAATGTGGGTAAAAATCACTGAAGCGGTTAAATATTCTGAATTAATTGTTCCCGCTAGTAATAAGATAATAATGGCGAGAAACAATCCATCAAATGCATGTCTTGGGGTTAGGGAAAGAAAAACAAAGTAGTTATGATTCAGTTCACAATTCCGAAAATTTGAAGGTATTAAAAAAAACGTCTCCTTCAACACTTCCCGCTCGCCTACGAAGGTTCGTGCTGTAAACCAAGCATAACTAGTCAGATAAAATTATGTAGTCAACTCGGCTTCAATGATTGCTACCCAGAGTTTCTCTCGGTCCAGTCGCGTAGGCTTGAGTTGGTTGACGACGACAACATTATTTGAATTGACTGTATGCCATCTTGGATTCGGGGCAATGATCATGAGTAAGTAGCGTGGGGATGAGGCTACGTTCCAGGTAGCTGTAGAAATTAAAGGTGTTTACGAAAAGCATGGGGTGGCGTAGCGGCGAGAGCGTTCGTCTCTCACCAATGCGACCCGGGTTCAAGTCCCGCTAGGCTCGCTGTCGTATGTGAGTAGATTTGTGTGTTGCTTCTCTCCTGTTTTTCGGGCTCTCTAACCTGTTGATTATTTTATGTTTACGATCCTTAAAAAATTGCAGCATTAGCGGGCGTTTTTCAACTAGGTTGCTATATTATAAAATTTAATTTTGATATGTAGTATTATCATATAATCATCCATAAAATACCTATATTTCTCCTTTTCGAAAAACTGATATTTTCACATGTGAAAATAACATGTTATTTTCACATGTGAAAATATCGTTACCTTGGTATTTAAGCTATTAGTAAGTTAGTTATAATAATAAAAAGCTTATTAAGTTGATTTTATGGATAATTATATAATAAACAGAATATTACATGGGCGCCTGGAGATACGAAATTTATCTTCTCGTGTTGAAAATCTCTCACTCGTTCGCTACGCTCACTCATGAGATATCTTTTCAACACTCGAAGATAGATTTTGTATCTCCGCGCGCCCATGTAATATCATCTATTTAAGTCAATTGAAATGTTTTTGTTTTCTCAGCAAAGAATTTTAGTTCAGCTACAGATTGTTTCGAACTTCAATCATAAAATCAAAAGAACCGTCAAGAAAGGTATGTATCAAACAGAAAAACTTTTTTTTTTCTAATTGCCCAATTTCCGAGATATGCTTTGCTTCTTACGCACAAAGGTTTCAGTACAATTTTACGTTCTAAATTAAATTTGCTATATTCTCCTCTCACGAATTACCGAGGATTATGAACGAAGCCTCACAGTGAACCATTTGTGCATGTCATGCGAATCTCGGATCTTTGCCCTGCTTTTTTTCCGGAAGACATCATTGTTCCAAATATCTGCAGGACATCTCTTCAGGACTATGTCTGGTAGCTTAATAAACGAACACCCTTCATTAAATCTGAAATGTCCTCCCATATCTATTATATAACGAACCTCTTTAGCGGACGCCTTCTTTTGCTGGTTTTCAATCGTTCCCAGGAGAAAGAAATAACAAAAGACACGGCGGCCATGTTGGATGATATAACAGAAGACTCCTCTCTTTTGAGGCTGGCGGTTCGGAGTTCTGCGTGAAAACCGCACCGTATATGATATATTGTATTTTTTTATATTATATATATTTGTTTAACTTTAGATAGGTGTCCCCAATTAACCTACTTTAAAGTAAGCTATAGATACTTATGACACATAAATTAAGGTTATTATCATCATCATCATCATGATTATCATTATTATTATTATTATTATTATTATTATTATTAACAACAAATATTTGGTAATTCATTCAACATGGCGGCTGTCAAAACCATCAATTAAATGGACTCGAGGCAAAATCCGAAGCCTATGAACACATTTAAAACGTGATTCTAAATGTTTCAGATATAGATAAACGTCATGTGAACGAGACTTTGAAAACCAGTAGTTATCAAATCCCAACAACGAAGTCAATTAACATCTACGAATACATTGAAGAAAACCCCGCGGACATCGGAACGATACAATATGAAATGGCCAGATTCAGGCGTTTTCTAGCAACACAAGAAGCGGTCTGTGAAGATATCAGGAGAATAGGTGGTGAACAATCAGAGACATGGCTTGCCCCTCGTCCTTTTGGAGCTGATGGTGCATGGGATGTATGCTTTGACGCAAATGTTGGATTAACACCGGGTTCGTGCATTGTGTATTCCTTTGGGTGAGTTTGAAGTTGTTGTTTTTTTCTTTTAAAGTCGTCCTTGTTCTACGAGGGTAGCACGGAATGGACTACTTCGACGATACGCGGCCATCTTGCCAGGAGGCAAAAAAAACAACAAAGATGACAGAAAATATATAGAGTTTCGTGTGTTTGTCTTTCTTTTATGAGTAAAGGTGATGGATGTGCCGTCTTAATACATCTTTTGTTGTATTCTCTTGTGGGGAACTGTTAATATCAATCGCCGTCATTACTGCAACAAAGCTTTATTTGCCCCTTGGACGCCCCCATAATGCCTTGCAATCCACAATGCCACCGTATCGTCGAAGTAGTCCCTAGCCAGTGGCTAACAAACCTATGGCTTTCATTAGATCGAATTTGATTTAAATTGAGGAGGGATAAAAACCAGAGAACCCAGAGAAAAACCCTTGAAGCTGTGTAGACAACTCTGGCAATTATGATCAGAGCAATAAGAGGCGGCGCATCAGCAACAAACAACGGCCGTGCATAATCTTTCAGCACCAATTGCAATTGTTTATGCTTAAAGCCAGYCAGCATAGACGAGCATGGCCTCCAATATATATCCTGATTCTCACTGGTTGCGAGAGGTCAGATACAAGCAAGGTGTTCGCGGATTTTGCCGGTCTGATCGAACCGCTATTTTTGCGTGGTACGGTGATCAAAACATTAAAGTCTGTGTAGTGTTTAGAATAATTCAAAACTTCATTAATATTCCCAATACCGCCGTGTTATTTTTAAGGATTGGTCGAGATTTTTCTTTTGATGACGGCATGGCAAGTCATGGGTGTCACGTGTTTTCGTTCGATCCTACCATTGGTCAACAGAATCACAAACGTCCAAGTGGAGTAGAATTCTTTAGTATCGGTTTGTCTGACTTTGATCAAGAAGGAAGTGGGAATATCAGTAAGAAATTGCCAAAATCCCAGTGGAAAACAAGAACATTAGCTTCTGTCATCAATGAACTCGGTCATGAAAAGGTACCTACTGACTCTCATTCTTATTTACTCTACTCGTCTTCTCATCCTAAGCACACTCTTAAC